ATAACAGTGGAAGTAAATACCAGTAACATTAGAAGTTTCTATACCATCTCTAGGAATTGGATTGCGTCTGGCGACGTAATCCAATTCCTCCCTGAATTCGGCACCACTCAGGCAATTCAAAGTTTAGAACCGAGAATTAAGAAAAAAAAGTGCCACATTAACGTTAATTAAAACAGGACAACTGAGTTATCGTTTGAAAATTCTTGTTGTTATATTCACATTCCCGAGCCGATTAATGCTATTCGTGATCGTACACAGTTCAAGAAGAGTTAAAATTCATCAAGTACTAATGGGTCTTTGTGCAAGAAAAAATGCATTTGCGAAGTTTGTAAAAAGTTTAGAACAAGATGACTTGCTTGTATAAAAACTAAGCGAACTTGAAGACCAATAGAAGTGTTGAAAACGAGAGCCTGCATTCATGCTAGTAGTTCCTCCGATGTTTCTGACGATAAACGCTTGATTCAAAGTAGAGGCATACGGAAAAGTTCAGCCAGGATTTTGAAAAATCTCCTAATTTATTGTTGGACTGAAAAAGAGAATTTTTGAACCAACTCAGAACATATAATAATTAAATATTATTATAAATTCTGTCTTTGTGTGTTTAAAACATAATCGTCTCGTCTGTTGTTAAGAGCAGAGCCGTCAGGCGTTCTTTAGACGATGATAAAACAGTGTTAAACGTCCCACTTAGCGATCCTATTCGTTCACTTTCCTATTTGTCTTACTTCACTTTGCTTTACCTTTCCTTTACTTTTAGCAAACGTCATTCAGCAAATGTCATTCATATATATTTCAAACTGCACGTGTTGCTTCTGTACAGATTAAATAAATTCTGGTTTGAAGACCGGTCTTGGTTGCGTTTGCGTAGAGACTTAGGCTTCACTCTATATAGCAACTGAATATCACTGAAGAAATGAAGTAAAATGTTGATTCTTCAGTTGCGAGGTTTATGTTCTAAAAACACCAGTAAACATGCATATATTACCGCATGTATTGAGTAATAGCAAATAATGGAAATAAGTTACTCATTAGTGTTAAGTTCAAGGCCACGCTCATGCAATGCCGCCTACAGTACGTCAAGGGGCCTCTCGATCAAGGCCAGCAACAGCGCTGGACTCGCCACACAAGCTGAAGGCACCAGTGAAAACCGCGCAAACCGACGACGTTGGCAAGGTGAACGGAAAACTAAGAAGCATATTATCAAATAAACACTCACAAGCGTGTGTTTATGATCGAGAGGTTACCAATTAGTACTATGAATACTACTATAATACTATACGGTAAACACACTCAAGCGTGTATTTACGTTCGAGAGGTTACCATGCATACTATTGCAATTTTTTTGTGTCTGAATACTGAAGGGCGTTTATGCGAGGCTAAATATGAAAGAATTTTGTATTTTGAGGTAGCGTAATGAAGAAGTACGTTTTTTTTACAAAATGGTTAAAAACTGCGAGTTTTCGAACCTGTGTTTAGAGAAAAAACGTGTTTTCGGGGCCAAGTATTGAAAACGCTCGTGTTTTAGAGGCTAGGTAATACATGTATAGAAGCCCGTATTCTCAAGTAAAATAGTAAAAATCGCGCGTTCTCAAAGCAATAGGTATGACAGAGTCACGTGTCTTCTATTTTTAAAGTCGATCGATCATTAGCGTAAAATGTATTCACATTGCTATAGTAATCAAGAGGAGTGTTTACGAGGTCAACGAAAGCGCTTGCAAACGAATAAGCAAGAAAAAATGCGTTTGCGAAGTTAGTAAAAAGTTTAGAACAAGATAACGAGCTTGTATAAAAACTAGGCGAACTTGAAGACCAATCGAAGTGTCGAAAACGGCCTGAATTCATGCTAGTGCTTCCTCCGATAATTTAATGACAATAAACGCTTGATTCGAAATAGAGGTATGAGAAAAGTTCAGCCAGGATTTTGAGAAATCTCATAATTTATTGTTTGGACTGAAACGGAGAATTTGTGAATCAACTCAGAACTTATAATAATTAAATATCTGCTTAAAGTAATCGTGCGTGCCTCATTTTAGCCAAACAAAAAGCAATATAAAAGCAATATAATTATTGGCTCAAAAAATGAATGAAAAATATTGACGGCGATCAATACTCAACGTAGTGTATAATGATATATAATAAACCACATTACAATACTCGAGTGACTGATTTTCTAATGACATCGATATGAACATTATGCATGTAATAATTGTGACATTCAAGATGCCAAAGCAGTGTGCGAGTAAATATATTCATGTTAACTGACGTAAAATATCCAATGAATGTCCAGAAATTCAGAATAAGAGTCAACTCTTTAATTTTAACTCTCAAATTTCAGTTTGGAATTATCTGTCATAATATAGTAGGGTATGTCTTCTTTCTTGAAGCTGAACCCAAATACGCAGCATTAATATTAAAAAATGCATTATTATGCAGCACCAATTTCATAATTTCTTATCGAGATCCTGTTATCAATCAAGATAACAGCTGTGAATGGATGCCGATGCTGCACAATTTCTAGTCAAATAAACGATAAATCTACAGCAATTTTAATTATATTTCAATTAATAAAATACCTAAGTATATAACATTTATACGTAATATATAATTTATTTAATTTTATTTGAAGAAACTGGCTTGGCAAAAAATCTCAATTATAATTCTTAAAATATATCAAATTTTGTGAAACGGATTCTGCAATCTAAAATGTTGACGTTTTCGACCTCGCAAAGAACCGTCGACGAAACAAAAGAATGATAATACTGCTCGGGCTGTCAGAAAACAGAGACGACTAACAAGCAGTGCTGTCATGTGAAAATTTTTGTCATAAACTATTCAAACAAAACAAAGCTTCACCAGCAAAGAATTAAAGCATTTGTTGGTAACGTCGGTAACTCCGTGAGCGTAGCTACAACAATACGAGACGTTCAGGGTCAATAACGGCGCCAGATTTCGAAAAAGAGAAGAGAGGGCGTGGTAAATAACCCTATATGTGACGTTTTGATCGTCATGTAGCATAGGAGTCGGCACTTACAAGCAGAGCGATGCTCGAGAAATAAGTCGCTGAAGAGTTTTCAAGCGAGGAACAAAATGAGATGGGAAGAGGAACGATCCAGCTAGCACACCTCACACTACAGCTACTGATGAAGCACTGACCTCGGAATTCGGAATCGGAAAGAGTCTGCTCGGACGAGAACTGAACTTAGCAGATCCAACAACTTTGTTCGGCAGCTGACAAATGAGTTCACGGTTCTCGGGTTCTTGTTCAGCAATGAATATCTAACTAACAATCTGATACAAAGATTCATCTTGCAAATAAATCTGGAATACCTAAGCAAATCATAAAACTGCTGCTATATAACATGAGTTGATGGGTCTGTAAAATACATTGGTGACAAACTAAAGGAAAATTCGGATCTCGCAAGTGTGCTAGCTGAATATTTTGCTAACCTCGGTACTAAAAGAGATCATGGCTTGACGGTCGATTTACATTAGCAAAACATTTGAAGACTAATTTGCTTTTTTCCTACTTGACATTTATTCATCCTTACATGCACATCGATTTGGGCAGTCACCCTAAAAGGCACTGCGCTTTCCAGCCACCAACTGTTGCATCGTGAAAGAGAAGGTCATGGCGGAGTTTCCTGTGCGACTAGCGGCTGAACAAGAAGTTACAATGCGTCCGCTGGGCTGTGTAACCATGATGTAAAGTTGCCAACGCCCGTTATTAAAAGTCCAAATTAATGAAAAAAACAAATTTACTAATCGTCACAGTCTCTTTACTCTGTCTCGAAATAAAGCGAACCTGTAAGACGATTGGTTTCATCGTTACTCGCAGTTAGCTATTCATTTCTGAGAAAAGATAAAAACCTTTTGGATAACTGAATAAAATAAAGTTTCATCGGTTTCTTCAGTACCCTGCAGTTTCTACATTAAAATATTATCTATTTAATTCAAAAATTTTCTAAAGTATTTTTTACACTGAAATTTATATATAAAATTATATACGAAGACATATCTGCAAATCAATTGCTGAAAAAAATTGTGAAAGAATAAAAGAACTAGCTAGTTGATTATGCAGCGAATTGCGAAGAATTCCAAGTACTGATGATTGTCATTGACTAGGAATAAACTAGTGTTTACCACAAGCTAACTGGTACTGAAAATGAACCATTACTGGCCGTCAAAACGTTCGAAATCGTTTCGGCACAGAGGTTGAGAAATAACAGACGTGACCATCTCTCCCTTAATCAGTTGAACATGTTTACAATAATAAAAAATGTAATAATAAAAGTTTAGCCGCTGTCGGGGACTCGGCTGCCTTTGTAACACTGTTGTAGTCGATGTCTTTGTAACTCTGGTGTAGTCGATGCCTTTGTAACTCTGTTGTAGTCGATGCCTTTGTAACTCTGGTGTAGTCGATGTCTTTGAAACTCTTGTAGTCGATACCTTTGTAACTCTGGTTAGTCGATGTCTTTGTAACTCTGGTGTAGTCGATGTCTTTGGAACTCTGGTGTAGTCGATGCCTTTGTAACTGGTGTAGTCGATGCCTTTGTAACTCGGGTGTAGCTGATGTCTTTGTAACTGCGGTGTAGTTGATGCCTTTGTAACTCTGGTGTAGTCGATGCCTTTGTAACTCTGGTGTAGTCGATGTCTTTGGAACTCTGGTTAGTCGATGTCTTTGTAACTCTTATAGTCGATGTCTTTGTAACTCTGGTGTAGTCGATGTCTTTGTAACTGGTGTAGTCGATGCCTTTGTAACTGGTGTAGTCGATGCCTTTGTAACTCGGGTGTAGCTGATGTCTTTGTAACTGTGGTGTAGTTGATGCCTTTGTAACTGTGGTGTAGTTGATGTCTTTGTAACTGTGGTGTAGTCGATGCCTTTGTAACTGTGGTGTAGTCGATGTCTTTGTAACTGTGGTGTAGTCGATGCCTTTGTAACGGCAGAGAACAAAAGCACCGACGATCAAAAGTCTGGTTTTCATGAAAAAGGTAAACAAAAATCCGTCTTGAGCTCGTGTATTAGTAATCTCACTACAGTAGATATCATATTTAAATTCGTATCCTTATATTAAAATATCACACTATACCCTAACTTGCATCAAGTGAAACTTAACGTTAGCCGTTAATAATCAGATGACTTTCAGAGTCAACTTCAACAACTTAATGTGTGAAATTTTAAGCATGTCATCTTTCAGCCATCATACCTATTCACGAAAACTCAATTTCGATTAAAATAGAGGTAATAAAAACGTTCATGATCAATCAGTACGGTTATTGAACAAAGAATTCGATATAGGAGGACACTGATCTGTCAATGTCGGTTGAGGTTATTAGTAACAAATTACTGATGGTTTTTAACATAATATTAAGAACTGCATTCAATATTACACGTGTGAAAAGAACCCTATTGCGCAATTCAGCTAACGAACTCACTGACAAGCAAATCGACTCGAAAGTAGGAAATTATAAATTGAAGCTGGCATGAGTTTGCCACGGCAGTACCAAAAGACTTAGCATGTTCGCTATCGTAGCTCACGAGAACTTGTTGCATCTGCAAACAAAAACTTGTGTGTTCTAACATCAAAATGTGATAGAACACTTCGATAGAGTAAAAATTTTTCAACCATGTCATTAAAGCTTTCGCATTAAAATCAATAAAACTGCGCTGAATAATCCATCAATCCTTTACATTTTTGCCGTAGAACAAAATTCCTTTCTGATTTTTCAACTCTCAACATTAATAGCATTACCATAGTAGCAGCATAGTATTTTTAATGCTCAACAGATAAACAAGAGGTACACATAATAACTTTGATTATAAATACAAGGAGAGAAAATTTAGGACTAACTAATTAAGAGCGACTTCAAACACCACACGAACAGACGTTATGTTTTCACCGAGTTCTACAAAGGATGCCGTATTACACACATATATGTTCAATTCTGATCATGGTTGCAAAGGTTATTGAAAGGAATTAACATATATCAATATTGCATAGAAAAGTAACCTAAATCCCATATATTTTATTATGAGCAATATTTGAAATGGTTTGAAAAATGGATTGAATAAACTTGGAAAACGTGGTTGTAAATATGAAAATTTCTCCCACAGGTCTTGACTAAATGAATCGCCCGTTTTCACGAGTTGATCATTTCCTATTGATATCAATCACAATGTGTACATATTTTTCAGGCTCGAATGACAACCATTCAAGAGGTGACCGGCTAGTAAGAGGTGACCCGAAAATATACCTCAAAATGTGATACATAGTCACGATAAATAATACAAGGTCGAGTCAAACAAATCCTGAGATATTCTCATCTCAATGCTTTTACCCCAACAGTCATTAGCACATAACGCATACAAGTTAAAGCATAAAATCTCTCTTCGGAATAACATAATTTCAACTACAGTTTTAGTACACAGCAATTACAAGGTTAGCATAATACCATAATTTATTATAATTTTTTAGTGATCTACAGTGCACTTCAAAATTAGAAGCCTATTACAAACGCAAGCAGCAAACACAAACTATATCGGACTAAGCATTTATTTCTGAACATTAAAATGTATTATTAAAATAGGTCGTTTTCCAGACTCTCAGTATATGACCATATAGACAAGGTAGGGAAAACGCTGGAAGATTGCAATAGAAAAATACTCCAGAACATCAAAAAAAAGCTATATTTAGTGATGAAATTCGGAACCCAAGTATGAAAGGCTCTTGAACTCAAAAATCTCCAACAGACACCAAATACAAAACATGTATGATATAACCAATGCTTTTAAAAGAATGTGTCACTTGCAATTAAGTGACCACGATTCATTTCGTCCTACAGAACGAAATTGGTAGGAAATAAAGTGTGCATATGCAGGAATAGTTTGTGGTGAACTGTCACCGAAGACTCAAATTCGTCCAATAACGGTCAGCTGTAACATAATCTACACAAGGGAGCAATAGCCACCACAGCTCGACTGTTGAGCAGCAGTGTCTTCTCTGGAGACAGAGAAACCTCCACCCTGACTCCTGTTGTCAACTTCCCACAGCCCTGGTGTCTGCAGGATCTGAAAAAATATTTTCATACAGCAATACTACTTTAACACGTTGACTACGATTGCTTCATCTTGAACAATTATTCCATTTTTTGTACTTTTTTTAAGCAGGGTTGCCGGACGGTCATTTTTTCCGGACAAATTCCGTGACTTAGTTTTTCTCAATTGCGTTGGCAAGCTAAAATTTATGATAGGGGTACTTCCTAATTAAATTTTAAATACTGCAATAAGAAAATAAATGGAATTTTTATAGCGGAACCTACAAATAAACTAGTATACATGGAATTATCGGCCTTTTTGGCCTTTTTTGTTCTCGGATTTGGCCGATTTTAGGCAACCTGAATTATGTACCACTACCTCCTGGAGAAATACATTTCGTGGTACACATATGTACCAATACGTAGTCAACGTGTAAAGATTGAACCAGTAAAATTTTTATGCTGTGTAACTAAGATTTATAAGAACTGTACTCCAGCTCAAGCAATAGGTAGTGATATTGCCTAATGCAATAGCAAAAAAAATCGTTTTTTTTTGTGGTAGGTAGGTCCCAAGTAAAGAAAATGCAGACTAGTAACATTTTAGTTTTAATGAAGCAACAAAGAGGAGTGGGAAACCAAATTTTGTCAACTTCCCACAGCCCTGGGGTCTGCAGGATCTGAAAAAATATTTTCATACAGCAATACTGCTTTAAGATTGAACCAGTAAAATTTTCATGCTGTGTAACTAAGATTCATAAGAACTGTACTCGAGCTCAAGAAATAGGTAGTGAGTGTTCAAAAGTGTTCAAAAGTATATTGCTTAATGCAATAGCAAAAAAAGTGTTTTTTTTAGGTCTTAAGTAAAGAAAATGCAGACTAGTAACATTTTAGTTTTAATGAAGCAACAAAGAGGAGTGGGAAACCAAATTCATTAAAACCCATCACATAAAAAAGGGGGTCCAAAAGTTAAAATAAGCATGCTTTAGCATCCCTGGTAAAATCAAAAACAGATAATAAACTGACAAAAAAATAAAGAGGAAAAAGTTAAATAATGGAAAAGGTTTTCCTTTGGGATCAGTGGAAAAACTAAAATCAGTTTTGCATTCTTTGGATAAGCATCAATGACAGTGATGACAGATAGCTCTGTAATTTTTCAAAATGCTACGTTCCCAAAATGAATTTCAGTACAACCTCCAAAGTCATGACTCCTTTAACTCCCATAATGCAGCCAAAATTTGTTTTGGCTGCATTATGGGAGCCTGACTGCCCTAACTACTCCTATGAAGCCTGACTGTTGCTTACTAGATGTTATTATCTCCATGCACAATCAATAAAAACTTTTGAGCTGAGTTTTTTAAGAAAAACTCTTTCCCTTTTCATACTTCACGTGTCACATCTTCGAGTGTGTTGCTAGTGCCTAACAAGTACCTATTCATTATCATTAATATTTTAATTAGGTAACAGAAATTTTTGATGAAATTAGTCATCAAAGTTCATAAAATAAGTAGCAAGTGGTGAACTTTTCAACGACATGGAATACTTTTGAAAAATCAATACACAATGTTCAATACTACCAGCCTAATTTACACTCATTACCAAAGTAAGCAAATGTATCTTTTATTAAAAGTATTACCTATTTAAATTGAATTGAAAGTAAATTTAAACAATGCATATAACTGCCTTTCTTAATCAAATTTTAAAAATAGTACCTATTTTACAATTATATGAGATGCTATCAAAACTTTGTATCTATTATTCTCACCTTTTGAACTAACTCTTCAAATGCACACTGAACACCATCCTGTGTTTTTGCAGAGGCTTCGATGAACAACATCGCATGACGACGAGCGAATGCCAATCCTTCCTCTCTGCTTACCTCTCGACCAGGCTGTAGAATATTAAATAAATATAGTAACTATACAATTCATTCTTTAATGAAGCAAAACCTAAAACAATTTTGTAGAGTTCTTTTTAGCGCATTTTCTCATTTATGGAAGAAATGCACTATTGTGCTCGCCATGTCCGTCTGTCTGTCCGTCCGTCCATGACCTCAAGTTTTCATCGACAAGAAAATGCTCTCTCTGTCACTCACTGCAGAGTGCTGAGTTATATTTTTTATTGTTTGATAGAAACAGAACTCCCAATATACTTTGAGAAAAAAGTTACAAACTATTATTATATACGCATCCCACCACACTTATGGAACACATTCATGAGTTGAACATGAATCCATAACTATCCATTCAGGTTGCCTCTTATAAAATATACATAGTATATGATCATCATATGAATATGATCATACAAATTAAAGAGTTCTGTCCTATGCAATTCATAGACAGTATGTTCTGATTTTTTTTTTGTTTCAAACTGTAATCACCAGAAGACCTAAAAGATGATATAAAGTTCACTGAAATAGAATATCATAAACAAATTTATTGTTTATGAAATCCTATTTCATCAACAATTTTACTCTTATGAAAACTCTCACCTTATCAATTTTATTGCCAACCAGCATTCTAACCAAGTTAGGCTTGGTTGCATAAGTGTCAACTTCTGACAACCACATATCCAGTTTGGAGAATGTGTGTCTGTTAGTAACATCATACACCATGATCACGCCCTGGCCACCACGGTAGTAGCTTGGAGTCAGAGTACGGAATCTCTCTTGACCTGCTGTGTCCTGCAATTTAAAATTTACATAAAAACCATGAATAAATATTGGTAATCCTAAGCAGACAGGGAAATTGATTATTCATTAAATGTATAAAAAACCTGCTGGTGAAGAATATTGTATTATAATGTAGAATGACACAATAAAGTTGTTCTGTAGATTGAAAACAAGATTTGTTGTGTATAATGACAGAATAAAGCCAGACAGTCCTGAACAGTTAAAAAAATTATTGGTATAGAAATTTCACTGCTCAAACACACCCAAATTGCAAGTTTGGTACAGTTGCCTTCCACAGTGAAGGTCTTGACTTTGAAGTCGACTCCAATTGTTGCACTCTGCTCTGGATCAAATGTGTCATCCGTAAACCTCAGGAGCAAACTGCAATACACAAAAAATGAAAAATACACATTATTCAATTACATGAGAACAATCCATCAACTAACTTTCATAAAAAGCCAATTTCTCAAATTTACCACATTCTTAACACGTTGACTACATGTTGGTACATATGCGTACCACGAAATGTATTTCTCCAGGAGGTAGTGGTACATAATTCAGGTTGCCTAAAATCGGCCAAATCCGAGAACAAAAAAGGCCAACAATTCAATGTATACTAGTTTATTTGTAAGTTCCGCTATAAAAATTCCATTTGTTTTCTTTTTGCAGTATTTAAAATTTAATTAGGAAGTACCCCTGTCATAAATTTTAGCTGGCCAACGTAATTGAGAAAAACTAAATCAAGGAATTTGTGTACTGGGGAGCATCAAGCATGTATAAAGTACGGTACTCTGGGCTCTGGAGCAACAAAGAATAATTTATATTACTTTTGTGCTAAGCTCAACTTACCTAGATTTTCCAACACCACTTTCCCCAACAATTAGAATTTTCAATGTTGTTATACACTCTGAATCCTGCATGATTCTGTTGAACTGAATGCCAATTACTGAATTAGGAAAAAAATCAATCCAAACCAAAAGAAAATGATCATAAAAAATTTGTCTGTTAGAGGTCAATCTTTCTCCAATGTAAAGCAATTTGTTTGTAATTCAAATCTATTTTTATCATCAAAATTAAATAGAAAAAACCCAATCCAGTTCAAGGTTCTCCATACCTAAGTGCTAAGTCATCTCTCTAACATAAATATATTGTACTAATGTAGGACTGGCTACTTTAAATACTTGAAACTATTAGCTATTTTTATTTTGAAATGTCTAATAAGGCATCCTTTTATTCCTTTTGACCTGACCTGAGTCCTGACCCAGTCCCAAGATAGTGAACTAAGTGAAGATTATATTTTTATTCTGGCTGTATTACTTTGCTAAGTGTAAGTCAACAGCTGAACAGCCTGTTTGCAGCCAGCGCGGGTGGAGCAAATTGAAATGTATATTGTATGTTTAATGTTAGGGCTATGATCTCTTGGGCCTTGGTCAAAAAGAAAGGCAATTATTTACAGCTACAGGAATAACTGAGGAATTAAAGTATGCCATCTAACTGTTGACTCTGACAGACACTCTGTTGTGCTTAGTTGTAGCCGAGTAGCCCGACACTTTTTTAACTTTAAATTTTAAAGCAAAACTCTCACACACACAGACATAGAGCACTAACACTGCCACTGCCACTCTCACTCTGGTTTCTGCGACAGCCGACAGTGAGCACAGACTGCACAGTCGTGCACAGACTCATTCTCAGTCAAAACACATAACTCAAAGGGTAAAATTTGTATGCCAAATCATAGCCACAGTCTCACACACAATTCTAAACATTATAATAAATGACCTAAATTTTACATAGAATACAATTGAGTGGATAACTCAGCCCAAACTCAGGCCCAAAGCAAGTAATTTTATGTCTAAAAAACTTCGATGTTCGAGGTCAGCTGATTGCTAACCATTTCCTTGTCCTTTTCTCAAGTCACAGTAACACGCAATAAAAAAATGTCATGTTTACTAAAATCCGGATTTGACTACCTGAATATTCGCAGTTTACCAAATTATTTTATACTGTAAAACTGTAATGTTAGCTAATTCACGAGTCATATTTTTCAATTAAATCATAATTTTCTCTCTACCTTGGCAACACCGAATAGAAAATATACGTTTTGTTCATTAGATTATTTATGAGATTTACTCCTGAAGCGCTCCATACGTTGCATGGGTATTATTTACATTATTATTCATGTACTTATTATTAATTTTCCATTAACACCTTGTAACATATTTTCACTCTAATAAAAAAACTCAGGTAAAATTCCATTTAATTTCCACCCATGTTTTATGTGTTGGTAATGACTGGCACTTTCCACGCGAAACCAATTCAATTTTGAAGTAAACAGTCCCTTTCTCAGTCCAAATATCACGTTTTTCAATCGCTGAAAATATAATCGACCTTATTTGAACACTTCAAAAGTTGAAGCGAGCTTATTGGTTTGTGTGTCTGTTTATATAATGTATTGAAACAAATGTGCCCGACGCAAAATTGCATTCCCACAACACTACGGCGACAACCTCTAGTAACAGATCCACATTGTTAACTGAAAGTAAAAACCACACAATTTTTGCAAGTCTCTTCGACTGATTAAAATATTTTCAAATTAAAAATTTATAATGCTGACACCGTGTTGTACTATACTAATTTCATGAGCCTAGTTGCTTCCAAGCGAAGTCGTGCGATTGGTATACTTAAGTTGCACAACACGGCATACGTGTGCTCCCGCCTCCCTGTATGCCGACGACACAAAAGTTTATAACACAGTGAAGGATGCGTCAAATAAAGCGCAATTGCAAGATGATCTTGACAGTTTAGTTAACTGCGATGAAGCAGTTGTTTGTTGCATGCTGTCGTGCGCCCGAATCTAGAGTTTGGTAACGTTGAGTGGTCACCGAGATTTGAAAAGGACAAAATATTATTATAGAATGTTCAAAGACGTGCAACAAGGATAATTCCAGGCTTGAAGGGCAAGTCCTATGAAGAAAGATTAAAGATTATGAAGCTTCCGTCTACTTGGGGACCTCATTGAAGTATACAAGTACACCTATGGTTTATACAAGGTCCCCGAAGGATTACTAGAATTTGAAACAAGAACCAACACCAGGGGCCACGGCTATAAACTAAAAAAACTGCGCTGCAACTTCTCCACGCGCCAACATTACTTCTCGCTTCGAATCACCGACATGTGGAACAGCCTCCCCGATTACGTCGTTGGCGCTTCGAGTATGAACGACTTATTGAACGCGTTCAAGAACAGACTAGATAAAGCTATGGAAAATATATGTTCAGATTTTAAATGCCTAGCACCATATCGAACCCGGTTGAAGTATAGTAGCTATTTCAAACTATCGTCAGTCATGAAAAGATCCGGTCAAATGACACGATTTTAGATCTTCTGTGAACAAGTCACGAGAAGGAAAAAAATCGGCGACAGGCCACATCAGGCCTACACTTCAGCGCCGACATCGCTATGTTATGTTATGTCATCACCCAAAAATAACCTCTTGGATATTTCCATCATAAAGTTTTAATTTAGAGATGAGAGACTATTGAAACTATGAGAATTAAGTTGATTCAGATTGTATTCACCTCTTCAAACTATTATTCTTCCATCTATTGATAAATTTCCTTGTATAATTCCTCTTGATGTTTAAACCGGCTAAACTTTATTCCACGCATTATGTGATGATGGGATAGAAAAATAAATCCTGATTATATACTTTTATTATGGTAAATATACACCCGCTAGACTCCTAGAGCAATGTTGAATAAAATGAATCTGCACCATAAGTTCTTCTAACAATCAATCATATCAAACGTAATTTTGTGCTTTAAATAGGTACAAAAATAAATTACACACAAATAACAGTAATGGTAACAACACTACAATGCTGAACACCTTGCAGATCATTATCGTGATCGTGACACATGACACGAGTTGGACGCCTCAAAAGCCGTGATCACGATCGTTACATAACAACGTTGGAGGCTAGACGCCACTAAGATCGAGATCGTGACATGGCGAGTCTTGAAGGCTGAACGTCATAAAGATCGTGATCGTGATCATCACAAATTGTAACAGTTGGACGCCTCAAAAGCCGTGATCACGATCATTACATATAACGCTGTAAGCTAAACGCCACGAAGATCGAGATCATGATCGTGACATTGCAAATCTTGAATGTTGGACGTCATAAAGATCGCAATGGCGATCGTGACATGATGACAGAGGCTGGACGCCTCATACCAGATAAAAATGCTGCTCTGCTCGCATGTTCTGGCCACGAGTTCAATCCTCTGCCCGAGCAGTTGGCCAGTTAGTCACTTTTTGTTTAGAAACAATTATTGTTTTGCAAATGAAACCGAGTTGGATCCGCAGTATTAAATATTCCAGCTGTAACTTCATAATGCACATTTGGGAGTGTCAGGGAATCCTGCAATTTTTTTAGCGTTCTCAGCGGTGAATCGAACGAGCTTCACCTTGAGCTTCACCATCCCATTGGGCCCTCAGTGCGGTCTTTATTCCCTCCACATCTGTTGCCTCATCTGGGATATCTATCCCCTGTCCTTCCTCATGTGGTGATATCTCCTGTTGCTTCCCTGATGAGAACTTCCTGGAAATGTTCTTTTTATCTTGCCATTCTGGCCTCTTTGCTCTCCAGCAGCTTCCCGTTTTTAATCTTTACGGCTGCAGTTTATCTGGGGGCTGATACTCTATCCTGTCAGCCGCTTCACGATTCTGTAAAATTCTTTCTGTCTTCCGTCTTCCGCGGCGTTCTGTGTTCTCTCTGCTTCCTCCGGCATCCACCCTCATTTGTCTTCTCATATACGCTCCTCTTCACGTCCCTGTCCTTCTCCCTGTACTCTTCTCTAATTCTGTTTTTAATTCTTTCTGATCGGATACTTTTAATCCTTGTCTTGTTAATTCTTCTCTAATAGATCACTCTCCATGCGTTAGTGCTGATCCATGGCTTGTTCTCCCATTTCTTGTAGCCGAACACCTCTTCTGCCGCTTTGATGTAGGCATTTCTCTGCTGTCCCCATACCTCCTCTATGTTTTCGCTCTATTCCATGGTCGTGTCCAGCTTGTTTATGACTGCCTCGCAGTTCTTGTTCCTCGCCTCGTAATTTCTCAGCCGTTTCACATTTAACCTCGGCTTTACATTGTTGCTGTTTCTGTAGGTACTGAGGCGCAGCTTGATGTGCGTCCACACGAAGTAGTAATCGCTATTGAAATCAGATCCTCTCTGTACTGCGTGTCCAGGACTGAAGATCTCCACTGACCGTTGATCAGGGTGTGGTCGATCTGATTCTTTACTTTTCCATCTGCAGATACCCATGTTGCTTTGTGGATGTTCCTGTGGAGGAACATCCACAGCTGTTAACAGTGTGGAGCTGTTATCACAAGTCCATTCAGCTGGCAGAAATCGTATTATAGTCTTTCTCCGTTATCATTCTGTGTCTCCGGCACATGCACCCCCATCGTCCTCTCATCGTTCCTTTCGTCGCTTCCAGCTTTAGCATTGAGGCCTCCCATTCATTTGAGGTCTCCCATTCAGACGCGGAAAATCTTCTTCAAAACACCATCAGTGTCGCAAATCTTCTCGGAAATTCACTAGGATTGCACAGAGTAAATCTCAAACCTTTGATGGTTGCCACTCTTGCATGGTGGAAGTGCCGAAAAACGAGTGTTGCTCGCGACTGACTTCTCTTTGGAGTCATCTCCGCACATGCGATCACAGTTGGTAGATTTGCAGTCTCAAATCTTCAAAATGATTTCATACATAAGGGCCAATGTTACATCACCCAAACGTTTCCCCGCAGCAGCAGTAGTTGTGTAAATGCGCGAGTGGGTTCCATAGATGTGGACTATACCAGACGCTTCAAGATTTTCAATGCAGATCCGATGATTAAAATCTTGTGTTCTTCAACGATGTTACAGATCTTCACCCATCTAAATCGACGACGCAGAATGACGTCACTCGTTCACTAAAACCTTGTTGGGAAAGCCGAAGTTCGAGGATTTCGTTGATGGCGTTCTCAAGCGCCGACTCGGCGTCGGGACCGCTGCACGCTAGAGCAACCAGAGCTCTTCGATCCCTCGACTTAGTTTTATTTTTGCTTCTATATGATGAATAAGAACCATTACGGTTGGATTTTTCAAGACACGTAGAACCTTTGTCGTTCTTTGAAGATGAATAAGAACAATTACAGTTGGATTTTTCAAGACACGTAGAACCTTTGTCGCTCTTTCTGTTCACAAATTTTGGTCTTGTAGTGGACCATGTTGAAATGGAGCTACACGACGCTCTGCTTGCATTATGATGACTTGGTTGACAAGCCACCGAAGACGGACTGATGAGAACGACAGGGCCTTCGGTAGCTTGAGACTTTGGTGTCCGCTTCGCGACTCGTTTGATGAACTGTAAAAAAATAACATCAATGTTAGAGTTTGCACTGGATTTTGTATCATGAAGTGAGCAGAGTATCCAAAGAAAAATTTTAACACGCCATAGCCGACCAGACATAAAATACTCAAAATTTTGAATCATATCTCAATTTCCATTCATTGATTCCTAGAATTGATAATGAAATATCACTTTTATTTTGAATAAATTTATCATGTTTGATTATTATACAGCTTCACTCCCTGGATGTTTGAAGCGAGCGAGTGCTATGGAAATCATTAATTAAATAAACATTATTCACAGGCAATCGGATTAATAATCAATTTACACAATTAATTTAATTAATTGTGTTGTGTTTAATTAATTTGTGTTGTGTAATTGTGCTTTTAATTAATTGTAATTAATTAATAATTAATTTACACATTTCCATTAATTAATAACACACACTTTATCTTGCAAGAGACGGGCAGAGCCAAAGCAATCATTTACTTTGACTGTAACAAAAAATATAAAACGAATAATTATATCTTGTGATGAATAATATTAATACAGCACAAAAAATACTTAATCAATACAATATCATCACAGTTTCTTACCTTGCACACCCGGGCAGCTACCCTCAACACAGGATGAAACGGCATCATTTTCCTTGTAAAAGTTCCCCTCTCGGTGAAGCGTCAGAAGCTAGGAACAGTGACACTTTACTCACATACACTACCAACGTCTGTTGCTCAACTGACAGACGCTCCGAGCTGGCGGGCTTTATATACTCAGCCCCTCTGCTGGCGGCTGGGCGGCACTTGATCACGCAGCGTGGGAACGACAGTCTAGAGAGGGACACACGACCAAAATGTCGCACTCGTAATCGTTAAAGATAAGAGGCAAAAGTGGCCGATCACTTTACGATACTTTGCAGCAATAATACTTCAGTCATTTGTTGTCATTTATGTAATATGGCTTATGATTAGCCCAATTCTATTATCGTAGTTACCGAACAGTTGATGGTCGTAAATGTTGGATCATTAGAGAAATTGTCATAGTCGACTTAAACGATATTTACTAACAATGTTTTTTCAAATAATTGCAGCTTCATTTTCACTATAAATACTATGAGCTTATTTGTCAGAAAAATATTGCGAAAAAGCAATTTAAAATGTGTGCTAACACATTTTAAATTGCTTCTTTCAATTGAAATTGCTTCTTTTCAACATAGTTATGCATTTTGATGCAAAATAAAAATACAGAACAGTCTATACAAACATAAATTTCAAATCGCTCTTAATATATGAAGAAACTTAATACGCAAGTTGCCCTCGAGTTAAAAAAAAAACGCAAAATTCAGAGCAAAATGTTTCGGAACCCAGCTCCATCATCAGGTTCAAAACTTTAATTTTTGTTACGGGCAAGCGGTCACAAGACTGGAATTACGCAATGTACGCATACAGGCAAATATGGTTCACTAATTTCAATTAGCAAAACAGAAGATCCAAATTGACACCGAGGAGATTAGGCCTAAATGGCCAGAAAAAGTTATATAAAAACCTTTCAATTATTGATTTTATTTTAATTTTAGATCAATGTGTTTTTAATGAAACTTAGCGCAATAAAATAACAATTAACTATCATCTCAACCGTATAAACTTTTTTCTGTTAATTATGCGTGGATTGTTGAAGTTTTGAACTGAAGATGGAGCTGGTCTACGAATATTTTTTATTGAAATAGTGCTGAATATTCTTGGAATTTTCTTTAATTTGAAATTCTTGATGAGGAGACTTGAAGACCAACGCAATCAACATAGATTTAGTATAGAACCCTGTGCAAGCATCAGTACATCTAAGCAAATAACGTCGTTACTATTTCTTTTATACTAATTCTTTTACAGGGATGACAACACTGATTGTCTGAACTGGTCTTCTTCACATGCAGATGTAGTTGAAAGTTATTACCTTTCACCGTGGATTTATTGAATAAACTTTTCCACCATATGTATTCTAGAAATACGTGGTTCAGTGAAAGGGTTCTGCTTATTACTTTTTAATTTTAATTGAAGTTGAATCTTCAAAATTATTGATATTGGATATTGTGCTCCATTACTTTCATTTCCAATTATTTTAATCTTATATTTTCCAGAACTGGAAATTCGAACCTCCTGAATAAATTAGATCCAAACTTACAATATTGAAATTCATACCAGATTTTTTGACCCTCTTCCCACGCTAGTTTGTCTCACATAATCTACTGGAATGACACCCAATTTAATGATCCTGCCATGATCTGCACTACAAAGATCTGAGCACAAGTGATCAGAGTGTCACGCGATGATCCTTTACTGATCCTCTGAAGTGGCTTTCTCACGGCAAACCTAAAGGGCGTGCAGCGGAGGTAACCTGATCGTGAGAACAGTGATGCGGTCATACTGGCCACACCGCTGTATCCCTCGAGGATTTTAATGCAACTTGAATCCGTGGTACTGCTTTGAGTTCAATTTTATTGAACAGATTGGCCTGCAAGCACCAATACAAAAATTATTTTATGTTGGATATTAAACATCAGTTGATGGAAATTTTATGTTGGATATTAAACATCAGTTGATGGAAATTTTATGTTGGATATTAAACATCAGTTGATGGAAATTTTGTGGTGGAAATTTATTATTGGAATTTTCCGGTGGAAATTTATGTTTTCATGGTGGACAATTGCGGGGAAAAATCTAATTTCGTACAAATTATTTCAAAATTTCTCGCGTTGATGATCGTTTCTTTCCCATGAGAATCACAATATTAAATGAAAAATGAAAGCAAATTGATTGACCAAAAAAATGAAAATTGCTGCTCAGAGACTAATAAATATTAAAACATTTATAGAAAAACTGAAATATCTTAACCAGTTAACAAATTGAATAAGAATTATTTGGCAGATATCGCAACATGTCTCCGTGTGAATCGGTCGCAACAATGCCCGCACATGTCGCGATCTGCTGCCCCACAAACGGTCTCAGTGGGCGCCTCGGAACCCTTGCAGTAATCAAGTGCATTTGAAAGAAGCTCGGGTTTTTCAAGTGGTATGTTTCACAGTGCCAGATTGAAGCAAAGGTTGTGAACTCAATTGATCAATGGAACTTGCGTGTAGCGTTACGTGCAAGCAGGGGACAGTTTGCTTGCTGTACAGTCGAACGCAACGTGTCTTTTGTGCTTCTCTTGCTCGTGCTTGCTAAAGTATATAAAAATACGTCGAAAAGATATATAACCTATTCTAAATTGAAGATTTCCATATATTTTTTTAACAATTACATTGAGATTAGAAGCTTCAATAATTCACATTAGACAGGCCATGTTAGTAACTGAGGAAATTATTTGTTATATAATTAAAAGGGGTTGGTTCTTTAACAATGAACAAGTTTGTAAATTTCTAATCCACTATTTAAGGACAACATGTAATACTTGTGAACCTTTCATTTTTCACCGCCACAACCTTAACTGTCAGCCAACAAATTATAAAAATTTCCACTCGAACTTACCACATTATGCCTTTAATACAATAAATATTTAACAGTACAGTTTTATATCTGAATTAAAAAAGAACGTCAGCCGCGAATGTAATAAGAAATATAATGAAGTTTCATGCTGAATCTAACACTTGATCATCTCTAAGAATTTAAAAGCAAAGAAAAGTCCACAAAAATTCATATCTTTATAGAAAACGTTTGTCTCCTTGAATTTTTTTAATTATATCTCTGTCAATTATAAAGATACGAATTTTTGTCGACTTTTCTTTGCTTTTAAATTCTTAGTTAATTTGCGATTTAAGCAAACAAGTGATATAAATTCTTTGATCATCTCCGGTATACTATTGGAGGCGAGTGTACGACTGCAAGTTGCTCGTGTGTGACATGTGACGGTGGTAGCTACAGGAGGCGTGTTATGTGGTGGCAGAGTGTAACTCTATACACCTGCAACTGCAGAGTGTAACGTGTTATGTGGTGGCAGAGTGTAACTCTTTGTAAATCAAATTTATTAGCTTGTCCCATTTATGGTGGTAAAAATACAATAACTCGCTTGTTATATAAGTGCATGTGGGGTAAATGGGCTCGTTATTATACTCGCGTTACCCTATCCCGCAGCTAGGGTAAAGGGTTCTGTGACATCATTGATTTGTAATAAAACTAATAGAATATGGAGAGCCCTATAACACACTTTCTTTATTACTCCACGTGTCTCCATTATTCCAAAAAAAAAGACGCCGAGTTCCAGCGGGTGTTATGCATGTTCGGTTTTTCCGAAGATTGTTCTGGCTATGAATATAAATTTCTCTGAATTATAAGTCATGCTATATTCTTATAAGAATATATAATTTTTATAAGTCATGTTATAGTTACGAGTGCATTGTTTTCAAGATCACGAGTAAAAGCAATGGAAACCGTTACTTCGTTACCATGAGAACAGACAATTTATACACCATGCAAGGCATTCCAATTCTCTTGTCATGAGAGCTTCTCATGTTTTTCGTTCAGATCGAGGTACATTATTACTTAGTGCGAAAAAATATTAGTTATATAATGCATTATTCACTTCTGTCAATCTCACTTAATTATGATATAAATCTTTAGGTGCTTACCTTGAAAGTGATAAAAATGATTGAATTGTCCTGTACTTTAAACCTTCAATTGCCATTCTATCGTTCGATACATAATGCGGCGAAAATATTTCCCGCTGTCGGGAGCTAGAATTATCAGGCTTGTCCTAGAACTATTTATGGTATAAAAACCTTTTTATCGGGATCTACACACAATACAATTATAAGAATACGGTTCCCTAACGCGACGGCAATGTGGTCTTTGACGAACAAGAGCGTGGGTGGTTTGAGCAGATGTTCCCTCTTCCCACGCTAGTTTGTCTCACATAATCTACTGGAATGACACCCAATTTAATGATCCTGCCATGATCTGCACTACAAAGATCTGAGCACAAGTGATCAGAGTGTCACGCGATGATCCTTTACTGATCCTCTGAAGTGGCTTTCTCACGGCAAACCTAAAGGGCGTGCAGCGGAGGTAACCTGATCGTGAGAACAGTGATGCGGTCATACTGGCCACACCGCTGTATCCCTCGAGGATTTTAATGCAACTTGAATCCGTGGTACTGCTTTGAGTTCAATTTTATTGAACAGATTGGCCTGCAAGCACCAATACAGAAATTGATTGGAAATTGTTTAGCGAGTTGTATGTTCTGGAAGCATGGATACTGTATTTTATGGGATTTTCGTGTCTAATAAGTTTTATGGTGGAAGTTTTGATGTAAATTAAATTTTATACTGAAAATTTATGGTGGATATTTTATGGTGGAAATTAAAACTCAGTTGATGGATATTTTATGGTGAAAATTTATGATTGGAATTTTCCGGTGGAAATTTTATGTTTTTTTTTATGGTGGAAATTGTGAAAAAAATTAAATTTTGAGCAAATTATTTCGAAATTTCATCGCGTTGATGAAACGTTTCTTTCCCATGAGAATCACAATATTAAATGAAAATGAAAGCAAATTGATAGAAAAAAAAATGAAAATTGCTGCTCAGAGACTAATAAATAATAAAACGTTTATAGAAACACTGAAATATCTAGGCCAGTTTACAAATTGAATAAGAATTATTTCGCAGATATCGCAACATGTCTCCGTGTGAATCGGTCGCAACAATGCCCGCACATGTCGCGATCTGCTGCCC